AACCCTCAGCACAGTTTCTGGCCCAAAGGAGATGCTCAAAACACATCTGGATGAATGAGGGAATGTGCTTCACACTTCTGGGCTGTGAGGCCTGGGCCTACACAGAAAGCAGCTTGAGCAGCACACACTCAGGTCCTGGGACATGTTCCTGGACATCTTAGCTGGGCGGATGACCCCATGAACTTACACTCTCAGAGTCTTCCAGCATCCTTGTGGTCTCCTGCACTTCAGGGGCACTGGGAACCACCACTGGCATAGGAGGCCGGCTCCTTCCTAATGTCCCGATGGAAGCTGTCTTCACTGAGTGAATGTGATGGTTCAGAGCTGAGGGGGAAAGGGCACCATCAGATGTGTTGCCAACCCTGTACCCCAGACCCAGTGCAGGGATCCTGCTCTGAAAAGTTACCAGAATGAGAGGAAGGGAGGGAGATAGCAGGGCATTCAAGAGGCCAGAGAATCAGAGAAGATATTCCACTGGCTTCAGAAAGCTAATATCCTAGTCCAGTGGTTCTCAAAGTGTGGTGGTCCACAGACCCCATGCAGGATGTCTGGGAGGTCAAAACTGTTCATAATAATACAAAGACACTATCTGCCTTTTTACCATGTTGGTCTCTGCATGGAGGGAACAAAAGCAGAAGTGGGCAAAACTGCTGGAGCCTTAGCACAAATTAAGTCAGAGGCACCAAACTGTAAAGTCATCAACTGACACGCACTTGCAGTTAAAAAAAAAAAGCCAGTTTCACTTAAGGCAATCCTTAATAAAGCAGTAAGAATTAATTCTATTAAATCCTGGCCCCACTGTATGTGACAAAATGGAAAGCATGCATACAGTACTTCTGCTGCATACGAAGTAAGTAGCTGTCTTAACGAAAAGCACTGTGGTGGTTTGAGCTGTGAGCTGAACTGCTGTGTTTACCATGGAACCCCACTATTAGTTAAAAGACAGACTGACTGGATATTCAGACATTTCCTAGAAAATGAACGAAGTGAGCCTGTCAGTTCAAGGAAAACAATGGACAGTGTTTATTGCCAATGATAAAATTTAAGTTTTAAGTGAAAATTAGAATTTTGAAAAACTTGTATCTGCCACCATGAGCTTGACAGCTCCCTGATACTTACACATTTTTTGATATTAATGAATGTGTTTTTAGATACTGAATAATGAAATTATCAATATTTGAAGGATTTGCATAACTTAATGAACCAATGTTTTCTAAGTGACCAACGTGTGATGTTTCAGTATTATGCGTTCAGCGTGCAAAACAGTCCAAAGGATTTTAATGGCACAGAGTGCCAACAGTTCACGGATATGGTTTCAGCTTCCATATTACACGCAAACCTTTAAGAAACTATAAGCTGTTGAGTTTTGCTGTAGTATCAAAAAAGAATATCCACAATTATATAAAAAGTTCATAAAAATACTCTTCCCTTTCCAATTACATATCTGTGTGAGGCCAGATTTTCTTCATGTATTTCAACCAAAACAACATATTGTAACAGACTGAATGCAGAATGAGATAGGAGAATCCGTTGCTTCTATCGTCAGACATTAAAGAGATTTGCAAAAATATAAGACAATGACACTCTTTGCACTATATATTTGTTTTAAAAAATATTTTTTTCATAAAAATATGGTATTCATCTTAACATGATAGATCAACTGCTGTCTTTAAATGAATTGATAAAATATTTTAAAAATTTCTCAGTTTTAATTTCTTTTTTTCTGTCCTTTTTGTGACCGGCCACACCACGCTCAGCCAGTGAGCGCATCGCACTGGCCATCCCTATATAGGATCCGAACCCACGGCGGGAGCGCTACCATGCTCCCAGCGCCGTACTCTCCCGAGTGCGCCACGGGCTCAGCCCTCAGTTTTAATTTCTTTTTTTCTGTCCTTTTTTTGACCGGCCACACGACGCTCAGCCAGTGAGCGCATCGCACTGGCCATCCCTATATAGGATCCGAACCCACGGCGGGAGCGCTACCATGCTCCCAGCGCCGTACTCTCCCGAGTGCGCCACGGGCTCAGCCCTCAGTTTTAATTTCTAATATGGTAAATATTGATAGATACAACCCATGTGAAGAAAAGCTTTTTTGTGTCCTCAATAGCTTTTAAGATATAAAGGGGTCCTGAGACCAAAAAGTTTGAAAACCACTGACTTATTCTGAAACAAACCATCATAATAGACAATAAGGTGGAAGAATAGGAAAAAAGCATGCTTTGAGGTCAGCAGACTGTCGCTGAGCTGTGTGAACTTGGACAAGCAACTTCCCTTCTGCAGGGTCATCTCCCCATTCTGAGGCTCCTATGGTTTTACCTCCCTGTGAGTCCAAGTCTTGGCCTCCCTGACCCTTCTCTAGCTTGTGGAATCTTATGGAGTGAGATGTTTTCAGGGCACTGGGCAGACTAGATCTGTTGCCCACACCCACACCACTGGATTTCACCAGCAAGGGTTCTGCATGTAAAACACAATTCAGAAGGTCAGCCCTTGCTCCCCAGCACATTATTCTCTGGTTTGTATGCGCTCCCTCAGGAGGGAGCCCACACACTCCCTAAGTGGGGCAACGACACACTGCCACTCTAAACTGCTGGGATAGGCTTGGAGGGTATTTGCTTTGCTATTCTTCCAAGAAGGGGTGACTTGTCCCAAGCCTGAGCCAAAGTATCCCTCCAGCGGTGCTGCTGTCCGCACTCACCTTGCTGGGATAGTAACGGTGTGCTTGGCAATGCAGGATCATAGGTGGGAGGTCCTGGGGGCGGGACTGCCGGCACAGCAAAGCTCTTCAATGGGTGGGAAGGGCGAACATGGGCCGTGGGAAGACTCTGGCCTGAATCTTCCTCTTGAGAGCTGGCCAAGTAAGAGGAGCTGGTAGCACCTTCAGGATCCTGATGATCAGTACAGCATGTCTGAGACGAAGAGGCTGGCATGGTGTCAGTGCTGGGGGTATTTCGAACAGATTCTACAGCAGGAAAGTCTAAATGTTAGCATTTCTTTTACCATTAAACATATTCAAATCCCAGGGTTTTGGCTACTTCTAAGGGTCCCTAGATCAATTCAATAAGTGCTTGGGATCAGCGTTAATCCAAGCGAACATGGATTAGCACCAATGCCAAGGCTAAGAATGGACTAATCTAAAAGAGTCCTAAACAATTTTGCCCTCAACCAGCTGTTCCAATTTTTTGACCTAAACAGCCAAGTGGTCACAATTTTACTGACTTAAAGTTCTCCTATGTACGTATTATTGAGCACGTATAAAGGTTCTTGAGACTACTGTTTATTAAGATATAAATAAGTATAAGCGAAAATTAAAATTTTCACTCACTGACGGATAGTCTTAGAGACTGGTCTTAGACAACCATGTCTAGCCACCAAGGCTGGCTGGGTACCTGCCAGGAGCCAGCTCTGCTGGCAAGACCTGGGGGTCACTGCAGGGGAGGCCAATGCCACAGGCCATGCGTGCCCACTGGGGACTGTGCGTTGCCTCACCAGAGCAAAATCTCCACAGCTCAAGTGAGAACTGGACAACCGAACAGTCCAGAGGTCTGCACATGACTTTACAATCATGCCAAATGATGGGTGTTTTGGTCCAGAGAAAGAAATAGGGGTAGATTAGGCTTGAGAAAGGAAGACTCAGGAAGAACATAATAACAATATCAAAATGTGTGAAGACAGGGCAGAGGTGTCCTGGAAGGCAGCATGGTGGGGTAGAAAAGCACTGGCTTTGGAATCAGATACAGCTGGACTTTAATCCTGGCATACTAGTTGGGTGAATTTGGCAAAGCCACCAAATCTCTCTGAGTCTTGGTTTTTTACCTACAAAACAGGGAGAGTAACACAAAATTCACTGAGGATTAAATGAGATGTATGACAAGTGCTGCACACAGAGCTTGAATAATCTGTAAGGTTCTTTACTTTGTAAATTACTGAGTACTTACTATAAGCCAGGCACTATGATAAGTGCTGTACACTGATTTGCTCATTCAATCCTTGAAGTAACTCAGAAGGCACCAGGAGTTAAAGCAAATTGCCCCTGGACACAGTTAGAGTTAGTGGAGTAGAATCTGAATCCCTGCACTCTGGCTCCCAGCCCATGATCTGAACCACCGCATGCTATCCTGCTTTTCCATGCCCAATATCACCTACCCCACGCTGCAGGGCAGAAGCAGCACCAAGGCCCAGGGAGACCACATGAGGAAGACCTTCCCAACAGTGTGAGCTGGTACAGACCACCATCCCCATCCCTGAGGACAGGCATGGGGGACACTAGCTCAGAGCAAGAGTCTGAAGGCCTCTTCTGACTCCTAGAGTCCTTAACCTTAGAAAGTAATGCACGAGCAATATGCAGAAATACAATGTATTTCCCTACCTTTGTTGCTATGGTAGCAGCAAATCTGTTCCCTTGGGCTCTGAGGAGACAGGCCATGCCAGTCATGAGTGCTGCCTCCTTCGCTTAAAAGTCTTGGGTCCTAGGGATGAGGGACTTATACACCCTCCCATGTGTATCTGGTATATGAGCCCTACCAGGCTTAGGTCACTCCTCACCTTCTAAAGGGGTGCACCGAGCACCTCACTTCTTAAGCTTGCTCAGGCCAGTCATCACCACGCTAGGGAGTGGTTGGTCTCTGCCAAGTGATCCTGGGCTGAGTGGGGAAGCTGATTAGGGTGGCAGGGAGGAGGACAGAGAAAAGTGGGCTCAAGTCCTGACCATGTCAGCCTGTACCCACAGGTATGTCAGGTCAGCTTTGGGCACACAGGCCTGCCTTGACCGCCTCAAGTGCCTTTAACTTGATGTATGATTTCCCAAGGGCCAAAGAGAAGGGACATGAAAATGGAAACTAGGGTTACCTACATGAGTCAGAGCCCTGGCCTCCTGCCACAGCTCAGGGCCACCTTGTCGCACAACTCCAGCAGGCCCCAGGCACACTGTATTTTCCGGGAAGGGTGCTCCCTGACCTTGTGCAATGTGACTAGCCTAAAAACCGCTGTAACTAAAATTTCTGCTTTAGTGAGGGGCCTACTTCCTGACTGACTGACCTCTCTCAAAGTTGTTTAAGACACACAAAGTTCACACTGGCCAAGTGTTTGGACAAATGGAAAGTACTCTCCCTATGTCAAGTGGTGGTGACACAACAAAAGCTCCTGGAGCAGGCACTGCCCTGGCCAGGTTCTACTCCTGCCTGGCTGGCCCACACGGACAGGGCTGTGGCAACACTTTGAGCTCTAGAGACACAGGGCTTGGAAAAATACAAGAGAACATTGATCATTTCTAGATACTACTTGCTCTGCATTTCAAAATGACTTCGGTCAATCTATCACTTTAGTTTTACCTTTTTGTTTTAATCCCCTCTGGTCATTAAAGCAAGAAATCCTGTAGTAAAGCAAATCATCACTTTTTTCCTCTCTTTGCTTTCTGTCTAGGTCTATACAAAAGGGAACTTGAACCAACACTAGACTGTCTGGATGAGGGCTGGGTGGGAGCTGCTATGCTTCTCTCTAACCAAGCCCCTCCTAGTCCAGGAGGAGGGAGAAAGGGGCTAAGCTGGTTGGGAAGAGCTTGCCATCTACTCAGACAGGCCCACATCCTATTGTGTGGGATTCCTCAGCCTTAAAAATGGGTAAGGAGGGTCTGGCACAAAACCTTTCCAAGAAGAGATCTGGAGGGCTGCTCTGTGGTCTTCTGTTCTATTTGAGACTGTGAGGCAGACATCAGTTCTCCATGAGCTGGCTGAAATAACTGTCTATCCTGCAGACCATCTTTCCCTGAGGGCAGGACCCTAATCCTGGATTTGATGGGAGACAGTAGGAAGGCCAAATTTAGACAGAGATTCAAGCAGGTAATTCAAGCAGAGATTCAAGACAGAGATTCTCTACCAGGTAACAGCTTTGGGAGCAGAAAATGTTGAGAGATATTAGGTATCCCTTAATAAAGCTTTGATCTTCATTTGATATTCTGGGTATGTTTATGACTGATCAAAACTTAAAGAAGAGGGGTATGTTACTGGCAACTCAAACTTCTAGCATGATGTTTTGAGGTTCTTTTAAAATGGAACTCACTTCAAATTCCCTTATTTCCCACACCAACAAAACTTAGTTCTACTACTAGCAAAATAACTATTAATAGGCAAGTTTCAAACGATGGAAAAATAGTATATTATATACGTGAGAAGTTACTAGGTTACTAGATGTGCATTTTAAAACTGAGAAGATGGAAATTAATTTTCAATTAATAAGGAACAATAATATTTATGCCATTTACTGTCTCCTCACCTTCACTATTTCCTTCTTAAAACTGTTTCATAATGCTGTTTCTTAAGATTTCCAAACTGGGACATGTTTGTCTGGCAGCGTATTTCTCTAAACACACTGCAGATTGTCATGCTAATTTGTTTTTTAGAGGTGATATATTACTGTGCATCCCTTCCTAATTTTAATAATCCATTAGGCAACTCAACGTGGACATTGTTCTTACTTTGGTCTATGGCAGAAGTAACCTGCACCTAATGGCTGTCCTACAGAATTTCCCAACGTTAGGGTGACACAAGGCAAAGGCAACCACTGGTGTCTGAAAATCACCCACAGTGAGTTTTCCTTTCAAACTGGGGGATTAAAAAAAATAAACAAATTTGAAAAAAATGATTGGATTAAGATGCAAGTTTATGGAACAGTAAATGCTTATGTGTTTAGAGTTATTGCTGTTTTTACTAAAATGACACATTGCACTGAGCACTTAAAACAGAGATAAAACGGGTGAATTTTACAGAAACAAATTTGACTCAGTCGTAGAGACGTTATGATAAATAACACAGAAAAATTCCAAATCCCTCTTCTAAGTAGGGCAAGTTCGTCCCCATTTCTGCTTGCCAACTCTTTTTGGAATGCTTTCCGACTGGGCTTGAGCCTCATCTCTCACCTGTGGAATTGGCCCTGTCTGAAAGGGACATGGATGTGCCAACGGGCCATGGGCTGCCCGGGTGGTAGAGATGACTGCGAGCTGGAGAAGCGAGGCTGCTGGAGTGGAAATGATGGTGAGTGTTATCGAGGGAATGGATGGGATGGGCACTAATCACAGCTGTGAATGAACACAAGACAGAGAAATGCTTAGCATGCTTGCACGGACACACACAAATCACAGTTCAAGAGCAAAGTCGCCCCCTTCCCACCTCCCATACAATCCAACCACTTCCTTGGCTTTTTGGTGGCAGCTGGCTGGATTTGAACAATTAGCCACTGATTTTACATCTGTTTTAAAAAGTGAATACACTCCTATGCATATGTCTATATATGTACAGAAAAAAAAGCCTGAGTAATATATACTGAAATGTTAACAGTGATTATCTTGCAGGGAAGAGTGTTCATAATTAAAAGGATATTTTTTCTTTTGGCTTATCTGTATCTTCCAATTCTATAATAAACATAAATTATATCAGTTATTAAAAATATCTATTTGAATATATCCCCCAAAATAAATCCATAAGCAAAAAAATGACGACTTAGGTTTCTATAATTTTTTTTTTTTTTGTCTTTTTCCGTGTGCAGCAACGGATTGCAACCCTCAGTGTCGCCCCCGTACTGGACCAGGACCGGCAACGGGATCGCAACCCTCGGCGCTGCTCCCGCGCCTCGCTCAGCCAGTGAGCGGGAACCGGTCTGTATGTGGGATCCGAACCCTCGGCGGGAGCGCCGCCGCGCTTCCCAAGCGGCGCACTATCGCAGTGCGCCACCGGGCCGGCCCAGGTTTCTATAATTTTTTGTCCTGCTAAAGAGATAGAAATCACTTCACCTTCGAGTATATTCCTAATTCATTCTGTCTTTTTTAAATTGCTGAATGAGGCATGTAGTGGGTATTTAGGCCAAATAAATGAGTAGCTAGCTGTTTAATCAGTTTTCATATCTTAAAAATAATGCAACTGAAATTGAACTCCGATGGTCCAATCTAGTACTAAAAGTACGAACCACGGGTTTTGTGGTACCATCTCTTACTGCTTCCAGTCTGGGGATCAGCCACACCCATCTGCATTTTAAGAAACAAATGCATCTTTCCTAAATTTCCTCTCCCCTTCCTACACTGGCTAAGGACTCAGTTCACTGCATTTAGCTAAAGAATCCAAATTTCCACACAGGGATTCTACATACATCTTTATATGAAGACAGAGCACCTCTTTAATGAGGCTTTGTTATCAATCCCCAAAGATGGAGACAAAGAAACAAAATCAGAAGCTCAAATTTGGGAATAAACTTTTCTTAGATACTACCTTACAGCAGTTGTAGAAACAGAACATTTAAGACTAAGATAAACAGCTCTAAATCCCACAAACAGGATTGACTAGGAACACAGGGAATCTTTTTTTTTTCTCTAAGCAAGGGCTTCATGAACTTCATGGAAAACTTAATTAGCCCTTTGGAGCCTATTAAAATATATTCTATCACCAGGGATCTCCCTAGATCTTTGTGAACATTACTTAGGTGAAGAGAAATCCCAGCCAATGAGGTAGATGCCTTTCTTTTCCAGCTCTCTCCTGTCCTGTCCACATGCAGGCAAGCAGGTGGCACAGTCAACCCAGGTCCTGGAGCAGCACTGCCCTCCTTCCTCAAGGCCCAAAGAACAGGCTTTCCCTCCTGTGCTCTCTGGTGGACTAGGAGGCTCCACATGGTCCTTGTGAATAAAACACAACCTAGAAAAGCTGGCTGAGGAGGGTTCTTGGGGCAGTCTGGGAGTCAGCATCTCCTCTAGGGGAAGACAGGTGGTCTCAGAAGTGGCATGCTTCAGAATCAGCGTTTTTCAGAATTCAGGCTATGGTAAGGTTATAAATCTCCTGATTTTTACTTAAGTGTAATTTGGAAGCATTCTAGGTATACAAGACTATCACAAAAGAAAAACAAAACTGACATTTCTTTTTAAAGGCATTTTCAGTCTTTCAAAATAAATAAATAAATAAATAAATAAATAAATAAATAAAACATGAATGTGCCTGCCTAGAATATAGTAAGCAATCAGTAGCTGTTAGCTGAATCTGAACTCCACCTTTCTGTGCATGGCCTTCGACTGAACCTCATCCCAACACCAGCAAGCCTTTCCTAGCATTTCTTAGCCATCTAAGACTAGGGTAGGTAGATGGTGGGTGCATGGCCCCAGACCCATCCTAGGACCAAGAGCTCAGTGAATCCCAGCTTGTGAAAAAGGACTGTAGCCACATGAGTTTTGAAAAGGATATTTCAAAACCTAAAGACCTCAAGTGTATCTGGCTACCTGTTTTCAGATTCCTGAGTTAAAAGATTCCATCCTCTACAACTGTTGAGGCACAAATTAAGTAATATTGCAGATTCAGTGCATACTCCTTCCCCATCATCAAAAAAGAAAAAAAAAATCAATTAGTATGATATATCTTTTTCCCTTAATATTTTTATTTTTATTTTTTATTTTTTATTTTATTTTTTTTTTCCTTTTTGTCTCTTTTTTTGTGACCGGCAACGGATCGCAACCCTCAGTGTCGTGCCCGTACTGGACTGGGACCGGCAACGGGATCGCAACCCTCGGTGTTGCCCCCGCACCTTGCTCAGCCAGTGAGCGGCCGGTCTGTATGTGGGATCCGAACCCTCGGCGGGAGCGCCGCTGCGCTTCCCAAGCGGCGCACTGTAGCAGTGCGCCACCGGGCTGGCCCTTCCCTTAATATTTTTAAAAGTAATAATCCAGGAAAAGAGAAAGTCAAATTTTGCATGTTTTAAAAATAACCCAGTTCAGGTAGGAATTGAAGTCTTATACAAAACAAACATATAAGCATTCAAGCTACTATCTTCTAATAAATCAAAAGCAACTGGAATGGATTAATTTACTCTCTTCAGGCATCTGTGTCTTTAAACCTGGCGACCTCATCAAAGACACCTCTAGAGGAGGGAAACCATAGTTTTCCCCTGCATGCTTTCAAGTCCAGGCTTTCCTTTCCATCACAAATCCCAATTCTTTCAAAGCTCATTTTTATAATCTAGTGCCTTAGATGTTTCTGTACAGTGTTTGTGAGAGGGACAGGGGAGAAGGGCGGGGGAAGAGAGAGGATATATGTGTGTGTACGTGCAGAGACTCATGCTCAGAGGTTCCATCCGAAGCGTAGATGAGAGGAACTTTTCCAAGTACAGGATGCCATGGTGCACCTCTTTGCATGTAGGATATCTATGGTTATTTAAACCTCATCACTTGTGGACAGAGGGATGGCTAAGAGTTCCTTTAACTGGAAGCCCCACTGTGCCAGCTAGTTTGAAAGGCTTCTCTACCTTGGAAACAGTGACAGGGGAGAGGACACGGTAGTTTAAAAAAAAAAAAAGTGGTTTGTACCATTGCTTTCTGGTTTTTAATCACAATATTTAACTTATTTTGAATTTCAACTGTTGCTAAAGGAGGCTCAGCAACTTTTATGCTTATCAAAGTGAGGCATGGGTCAAATAAGGTTGAAAAATGTTGCTTTAAAAATTCCATGCTGTAAACCTAAGGCTACTCTAAAATACAAAGACTAATAATTGAAAAAAATCGATAGGTACCCACCAACACTGAATATGTGTCAGGAAGCCTAAGGAATACTTGTGATATCTGGCTATCCTCAGGCCCATCTCTCCCACAGAGATGCTATGCACTTTTAGGGAGATTGTATACTTCCCTATTCCTGGGAAACTGGTATTTTAGTGTATTTACCCTAAACTTACAGATGCTAGTCTCAAGAATAATATTTACTGCAAAATATAGCAACTGTTTGATACTTCCTCCTTCAAGGTATCACAGCTTTGGTAGATTATCTTTCATGTTAGGGTCAAGTGAAGTCAAAGAGATCATTCAAAGTTGTTCCCCATCTTGACTGGGCAGATTGGCAGCCCTGGGGAAAAGCAAAGTTTTTACTTACGCTGGGGTGGCTGGGAGTCAAAGGGCATCATCATTTTTGGTCTCATTCCCCGCCTTCCAGCTAGTGTAGACATGCTGTCCTCCGATTCATGCCCTAGACATCAAATATGGAGGTTAGTTATAAGCACGTGCCCTTGGCCACCAAGCAGCCTCAGCAGTGAAACATTTCTAGTGGGGGAATGAGGATTCTCAAACGATATACTGGGGATAAGGCATTTCTGCAGCAAGTGAAATAAAGAGGAAACTGATCTTGAGAATATCAGAGGAGGCCCTGATGAGAGTCAATGTTGCCCATCAAGCTTCAGTGTGATGTCTGTGAGTAACAGCATCCAAGCCAAGAACGTTCCAACACCACAAAGACAGCTGGAGCCCTACTGAAGGGACAGAATGAAATGCACAGGTACTGGCTAGGTTGCCTCAAATACTGGAGAATCATGTTGGTGAAGCCTGATCAAAGACCCAAAAGATTAAAGATTGTCTCTTATAGGTACAGAACCTCTCCTCCATAAAGAGCTTGCTATTCTTCATCAAATGTTGACCAAATCCTATAACATACATTCCTTTAAACCTGACCTCATATTGGAATCACCAAATTAAGATATTAGAAATATGGAAATGATTTCCAATATTAGAATATGGAAAATGATTTAAATGAGAATAGTCCCCCAACATTTGGGAAAGAGCCTGCACTTAAAATGGTACCTCTGTATGAATTCCGCCTTTGATGTATATTGCTGTCCATGGAGTTGTCAACTGGTGTGATATCTTGAGAGTTGCGAGGAATTGGAGTATCAGTCATGACAGGATTTGGGTCTGGAGACTTATCAATGGGTTTCAGCTCTAGTCTCTCATGATGGATCCAGAGGTCTGGGGGTTTGACATCTTTGGAGTTCCCTTTGTACTTGTGGGAGCCGTTCACTGATTTGCAGGCAGCTCGTTTCCTAGGCACAAAATTAAGAGTTTTTAAAGTAACTCTTTTGAACATATTCATCAAAAGGCTTGAGTGATTAAAAGTGCTTTTTTGAGATATGCTTCATGAAAAGGCAGAAACTAAAAACAAACCAAAAACCAAAAAACGGAGGCAAAAAGTTGACTCCTGAGAATAATAAATGTATCTCCACTTTGTCCAGACATATTTAGAGATACCTAGCAATGTATATTTAAATATTGCCTTGTGATTTCTTTTTTGAGTGTTAAGATATTAAGGTAGCATTTTTATTTTATTTTATTATTATTGTTTTATTGAAACATAATTAATTGTACATATCTGTGGTACCGCATCGAACATCAACACCTGTGTGCAATATATGATGCTCAAATCAGGATAATTAATATATTTAACATTACACAATGTAATCATTTTTTGTGTCCCTTCACCAATTTCTCACTAACCCCCTCTCCCTCTCCCACTTCTTGTGGCTTCAGTTCTGTTCTCTCCTTTTGAAAGTTCAAGGAATTATTGAGATTGTTGTACCTTTCTTTCCTTCCTTTTTATTTTTTTCCTTTTTTTTTTTTTTAGCTCTCACTTATGTGTGAGGACACGCGGTATTTCTCTATCTGTGCCTGTCTTATTTCATTTAACATAATTTTCTCTAAGTTCACACATGTTGTTACAAATAGCAGAATTTCATTCTTTTGTATAACAGAGTAATATTCCATTAAGCATATATATACCACATTTTCCGACAGTAACCAAAACAGCATGGTATTGTCATAAAAACAGACATTTGGACAATGGAACAGACTACAGAACCCAGAAATCAACCCACATACTTACAGCCAACTGATCTTCAACAAAGGCACCAAGAACATACAAAGGGGAAAATACTGCCTCTTCAATAAATAGTGCTGGGAAAACTGTACATTCATATGTAGAAGAATGAAACCAGACCTATACCTCTCGCCATATACCAAAATCAACTCAAAATGGGTTAAAGACTTATATGTAAGACATGAAACTATAAAACTCCTAAAAGAAAACACAGGCGAAACACTTCAGGAAGTTGGACTGGGCAAAGACTTTATGAAGAAGATCCCCAAAGCACAGGCAACAAAAGAAAAAATAAACAAATGGGATTATAACAAACTAAAAAGCTTCTGTACAGCAAGAGAAACAATTAACAGAGCAAAAAGACAACCTACAGAATGGGAGAAAATGTTTTCAAACCATGAATCTGACAAGGGATTAACATTCAGAATATATAACGAACTCAAACAACAGTAGAAAAACAAGTAACCCAATTAAATAATGGGCAAAGGAGCTGAGTAGGCATTTCTCAAAGGAAGACATATGAATGGCCAATGGACACATTAAAAAATGCTCAACAGCACTCAGCATCAGGGAAATGCAAATCAAAACCACACAGATACCATCTCACACCAGGAAGACTGGCTATTATCAAAAAGACAGAGAATAACAAATGTTCGTGAGTGTACGGAGAAAGGGGAACCCTCCTACACTGTTGGTGGGGCTGAAAATTAGCACAGCCCCTATGGAAGGTGGTACGGAGGTTCCTCAAACAACTACAGACAGAACTACCGTAGTATCCAGCAATCCCACTGCTGGGTATATACCCAAAGGAATGGAAATCATCATGTTGAAGGGATACCTGCATTTCCATGTCTATCACAGCTCTATTTACAACAGCCAAGAGTTGGAACCAACCTAAATGTCCATTGAAGTTAGCATTTTTAAAATCAAATAATCTCTAAAGCAGAAGGTCCTCCACAAGCTTCCAATCAGAGAAATGATAACATCAAGCAGAAACATAACAATGGAGTAGAGGTAGAGTCTATGACAATCCTTAGGTAGCCAAACTAAGACTACCAACTGGGTAGAGTCAAGAATGGGAATAACTGTGTTTACTTCTCTGTGCTCTAGTTTCTCCACTCACTCACTCGCCCACCCCCCCATTCAGTCAGCATGTACGAGTATGTGGTCAGACCCTGTGCTAGACTGCTGTGCCCACAGCACTCTTGGCCAAGTGAGGAAGACAATCTCAAGATTTCTAAAACTAGATAGAAAATCAAGTTCATAAAGTTGGAAAAATGTGAAATGCCAAGTAAACAAGCTTGCATTAAAGTTTTAGAGTAGAAAAAATGTAGTCTTTGTAAGAAGAACAGTTTTCTGCAATCAGAAGTAGACAGGGAAAGACATAAGAGGCAGTGGCCAGGAGGCTTATAAATGGGGACCCTGTTCTCTAGGAAAAGTGATGCAATGCAAGCTATGGAAAGCTAATTTTATTTGAGAGGAAAAAAAAAAAGATTTAAAACATCGCCAAATCTACAGAAAATGATATAAAGTCATTACTAGCAGCAGTTACAGGGTAGCTTATACTTGCCCTGTTTATTGTAAACAAATTTATCACTATTAAATATATGCATCCTTGCCTTGGGCCGGCACATAATCACAGACATGATTTTCTCTCTTTTATGCAGCAACACCCCCACCTTATGATCTTTCAGGATACTGCAACTAAAGTCACTTTATTACCCATATTGTGTTTTTGCTATTAGAGGTAACTCAGGAATCTCCTTTTTTTCTTATCTGTCTTGCTGGCTAGATACACAAGTTGAATGTGATCTAGGGTCAAGGATTCTCTCATTTAGAGAGTACAGGGTATTACCAAACATTAGGCAACTGAACCCCTTTGCCATCTGCTCTTAGACCATTAGCCACAAGCCTGATACCCCAGAGTTCAGGGCTAGCAGCCATCTGACCTTTCTGCGAAACTGATATGTTGATTATCAGCGATCCTTTCCTGTTCATTAAAGCAACCATCTCCTTCCCCCTGCAGAAATGCCCACAAACTGCTATTTGTCTGGTTCACTGTGTGCTCCAAAGGGGCGACCAGCCATGCTGGACAGCTTCCACTTTCCTTTCCACATCTATTCTCTACTTTGCTCTGTAACTCAAGAGGTTGAGCTAAATGAACTATATCTACTTGGCAGCCCTGCCTCTGCCTTCCAGCTGGGTTTGGCTAATAGAAGGCACTGGCAAGGGACTGGAGAGTAGTAGGTCTTTCTTCTCCTGTCCCTTCCAGCTCAGCTACAGGATGGTAATGGCTACATTCCTCTAGCTCCCACCACACTCCTGTCAGGAACCTCTGCTACTGCTTGAGATCTCTGAAAACAGCTCTCTCCTCTTGTCCTTTCAGGCCTGTGGGTGATAGTGCCCTGTCACTACTGCTAGCCTTGAACACCGCTACCTAGTACCCCTAGCCCTGTCTATGACTTTGTAAATGGTCCCTTTTGTATCCCTTTTGAGTGTACCACCTCTTTCCTACCACATATTTAAGAGGAACCATTTTCCATTTCCTTTAAAATATTTGAAACCACTTTTTAAGTATTTTATGTTTTAACTCTGTATACCACTCCAAACACAAGTCACATAGAAGCAAAAGAACAGATACAACAATCCATGGGCTGCATTTGGGGCTCCTTACTTTTTCTGGTGAGAGGTGGTGCGCCGGGTGCAGAAGACAGCGATGATCACAACCACTACGATGGTGATGACGCCAACAGAAACGATGATGACCAGCAGCATATTACTGTCTAGAGGAGAAGTGGGGCTCCCATGAGGGCTGTTACTGCCTGCAGAGGGAAATATGGTTACGGCATCTTAAAAATACATACAATCAAGCTACACAGAACCATTCCAAGATACCTCATGTGAGCTTCTTTATAACACTCATCACCATGTCTTGTATAAAAGTGCCATGTGACCATGGCTATCTCTCCTAGATTATGAGCTCCCAGACAGCCGACAGTCTGCCCTATGTATAGCACTCAGCACACAGCCTTGCTCAAAAATGGTGTTCAATAAAAGCTTCCCAAATTGTACTGAGCATTCAGGAGCTATCAGAGGTTCAGATATACTTGGACAAATAAAGGGTCTTGCCCCTGTGGTGTCTTATGTGATATATAAATTTGTCTTATAAAGCATTATTTGTAAATCATTTAATTTTCTGGCTTTCAAAACCATTTTAAAAATGTACACTCGTACAAAACAAAGTTTTCGCCAACATACAGGTGTCTGATTACAAAAAATTACTTGAAAAATAGTCTGTCTCTTTTCACAAATACACAGTCCATGGAGAGTTAATTCTCTCATTCAACTTCAAGAGAAAGTAGATCTGCACGTATGCATCAATTTGACAAGTATTTATCGAGTGGTTACTGGTGCTAGTCATGGTTCTAGGTATGAAGGATGCAATGGTGAACAAGGAAGATGTGAATGCTGGGGGGTGGGGCTGGAGCAAACAATAAACAAATAAGAAATTATTAGTTAATAATGAATGCTATAAAAAAATAAAGGGGATATAATACAGAGTGACTGAGTGGCTAATTTAGATTGGTTAGAAAAAGCTTCTTTGAGAAGATGGCATTTGAGCTGAGAAATGAATGACAAGAAAGATCCCAATATACAAACACCTGAGGGAAGAACACTCCAGAGGGAAGAAATGGTTAGTGGAAGGACCCTGAAGCAGGAGCAACCTTGGCATGTTCAAGGAAGAGAAAGGCAGCCAGTATTGCTAAAGCATAGAGAGATGCAAGTGAGGAGGAAACAGTCAGATGAGGCTGGAGAGGTGTGCAGAGGCCAGGTCACCGAGGACCCTGAAGACATTCAGATTCTCTTCTCCTTTTTCCTATTATTATTATTTCCCCATTGCTTATACGATAAGGTCTAGGCTTTTTAACAAGGCCTTTTGTAATCTAGCTCTAAGTCATTCTGTCTTCTATTTCTTGAAACACATTTCTTTGCTTCCCACCTCATTACTTAAGTTATGCATGCTCATATAATAAAATGTGGCAAATACCACCACACAGATCTAACCACCAAGGATATTTGATGCCTTTCCTTCTAGTTACTCTCTCTCCTATCTTTCTAATAATCAGAGCTCTATAATAATGGGATGAGAGCTGCCTTGTCATTTACAGTAATGAGTCTTTAGTCATTGGTACTTAAGAAGAGGCATCCTACCAGTGTGGAATGTTGTAGAAGAAATTCCTCCCATGAAGGTATGGCCTGAGAATCTTGTTTTAAAAAAAAAATCTCTGAAAGTGATTCTCATATACAACCTGGCTTAAACCTTTATGACCTAATCCAAACTCACAGTCATTGTGGGAATCCCTTCCTAACACTAGATTAGGTGACCTTCCAACTTTGATTCTATCAATTTACAGGCTACATCTAAGCACAGTGCTAAATCTGGGGCTGATTTAGAAGGGCTTAAGAGCTTATTCTCCCACATTCAGTTCAATCAATTTTAACCTTCATTTCTGAGAAAAAGATGAGCAGACAGACAACTTAGACTGTACATACTGACCTTCAATAAAACAACATTCTTATATTTGGGAAAGACTATGGTAGTGGGGCCAATAAAATTGACCACACTATTCATGCCAGAGTAGGGCTTTTCATCCCGCTGTTATCAACAGCAGTGCTGAGCTACTGGGCTGGGTACTTGTGGGGCAGGCATTGCAAATCAGAGGTGGGGGAGCTGATGTGTGGGAGGCAAGCAGAGGTGGTGGTGGTTCTCTCCTGAATTCAACAGAGAAGAATTCTCATTTAACTGCATTTGACCTCTAACATATGAGCTGAACAAAAGCCTCCCTTCTAAGATAGAGCAAGAGTGGGCTGCCGAAGGGAGTATCAACACTCCCACTGGGATATATTGCATGCCATTGCTTTACACCTCATCTGGACTATTGCAGCAGCTTCCTAACTGTTCTTCCCTCTTAGCCTCCAACCCATTCTTCACTATTATCAGAGAATAGTAGCAGATAATAAATGGACATCAGAGAGTACCAGTAGTGTCAGATACTTTTCGTGTTATTTACAGGCTAAACCTCAAATTTCTAAACATTGGTACTTGAGCTTCTGACAGGCTGGTTCTTCCCTATCGTTTCAACTCAATCTCTTTCCTGTCTCTAGGTTGTGTGACCCCTGCAGAGAGCAGGTTGTTCTATGTTGCCATGCCTTTGCACATGCTGGTATTGCTTCCTGGCACGTCTAATCACCCTCCTTGACATTCAGCAATCTTCTACACATCCTTTAAGACTGGGTTAGATATCACTTCTTCTGTGAAGCTTTCTCTTTTTTTTACTCTATCAGGTAGTTTGTTATTCACTCCTCTTGCTTCTATAACCTATTACATGGAACCTGAACCTTTAAAAATATCCACGTATGAATGAATGCATAAGTGAAAGAAAAGACAAAGGAATAATACTGTGGACACCATTTAAATGTAATACATGCACAGAGAAGGGGAAACTCATGAAAAAGTCCTAGAACTCAGAGCATAAAAATTTCTTGAAGCATGGAAATTTTTCTGGTTCTCCTAAAAACAGGCTCACTTATGTGAGGGCAGTATCACTTTTTATTTAAATAGATACCTGGAGATTAAGAGATCATTTTATTCCTGCAATTAGACTTAGTTTCTACAGGGCAGGCCTTTCTCTTCCATGTCTATCTGGCAGAGGTGAAGAGACAGTAAGGGGTCACTTCTAGAAACTAATTTTGTGGACATTTTGCCCATCTAAATTCCCACATCTGGTATAGAAGCCCCTGTTTTTAGGCTGCACATGACAGTGGAAAAAGTACAATCAGAAGTCAGAAGCGCTAAACAGAAAGATAAATATCACATGTTCTCACTTATAGGTGCGAGCCAAAAATAAAAGTGGAGCTTCGAGAAGTAGACAGAGCTGTGGTTACTAGAGGCTGGGAGGGGTAGTGGGGCAAGAGGGATAGGGAGTGGTTGGTTAACGGATACAAAATTACAGCTAGAGAGGAAAAATAAGTTCTAGTGGTCTACAGTAATGCTAAGTGTCTATAATTAACAATAATTTTTTATATGTTTTCAAATGGCTAGAAGAGAGGAGCTCAAATGCTATCACAAAGAAATGATACATTTCTACTGTGATGGATATGCTAGTTACCCTGATTTGATCACCACACATCGTATACATGTACTGAAATATGACTCTGTACCCCATAAATATGTACAATTATTATTTGTCAATTAAAAAAAAAGAAGTCAGAAGCCCTAGATCCTGGTCTTAGGACAGCCAGAATTAGTGGGCGGCCCCAGGCATACCACTTCTCCACTGAGTCTCTTAATGTATTTTTTTTTTCTTTTTCTTTTTTACAGGGTGGGTTCCCTAAGATCTTAATGTATTAAATCAGAATAATGGTATCTATTCTCCCTGCTTCTCCGTGTTATGAGGATCAAATGTGATTTCATGTGTGAAAGTAACTTACAAAGAGTAAAGTTCTATAGAAAAGGAGGTCTCATGATTAAATTAGAAGGCACCAGTTCTTAGGATGGCCAGGAGAGTGGGAAGAATTTTCTAGAATTCCCAAACTGAAACCAGTGCAGTAAGTAGTACTGGGAGAAGTTAATGATTCTGAAGTATTTCTTTGGCTTGTCTTGGGTGATGGTTAATTCTACTAGAGGATTTATTTTTGAAAGCAAAATTCTCTTTTCTAGAGGCAGTGGGCAACAGGAAGAGTCAGGTGTTTAGGAATTAAATCTTAAGTTACATATGTGGGGAAACAATTTTACTTATGGATCCTATAATAAATAGGCTGGCAATGATTTGGCAAACATTTGCCAGGGAAACCCAGGAAAAATGCCTAAAGCTAGATCTAGTAAATAAAAGGAAAGAGGTGAATACGCTACGACCTGCCACACACAAGCTACAGAAGACATTTCAAGATTTCAATCAAAACCACTTTATGTCCATAGCAGGCCAAAAAACCACAGAAAGTACTTTACCGCTCATTGGAGGTTTGTAGTCAGAACCTAGGTCTGGTAGCCGGCTTCCTTTTCCTGCAGACCCAGAGGCTGAAGGAGAAGAAATCCTGTTAGTAATGACCTGAGACATCGGTGGGACAATTCACCTCACAGCTAGTCAGTGTCTTCTATGAAAAACATTTTCAGCCTATTCTGTCCATAAGAAAATTAAGTAGCACATAAATAACAGGAGAAATATAGTCTATGTGTACAAAGCGAACTAATGTATAGCTTTCTACGCAATGAGACATCTGAAAGGCTAACACCCTTGTTCCATGGCTGTGACCAAACCGTCACTCTGCTGTTGAGAAGGTGGGAACGTGCCCATTTCTCTGGCCCAGGAAACAGTTCCTGAAGGACCGCTCAGAGATCCTATGGCAAAAGTAGCTTCTCTTAGAAAAGGAGTGAAGGGGACTAGCTAGGTTACCCCCTGTGTTAAAGAACAGTACTACTCTTCCAAGGGACCTGGCTATACTGAGCTGGCCTAGCAGGTGTCTATTGTTTGGATTCTTTTCTCAAATTATAAAGTTGTCCTTCTAAGTATAAAGTTACCCTAAATAGGAGCAGGAAGGCAAATGGAGGTCCAAATTGGCTTCTCAGTTTCTGCTCAGTCACCTAAATATCCAAGGATGGAACAGTCTCCCTTTAGTTGCTCACAAAGGACAATGTCTCCTAATGCATCATCCTGGGACACAGTAAGTGAGGCTGCTGACCTCAGGCTTGGGATCACCCCAGACACAGGCCTCAGTAAATGCAAATATTGGTTTTTAAAAACTCTTATCCAGTTCTTAAACTTTGTTTTCTGCATTTATAGAAAAGCTGCTTGGTAAAGCAGGCACAAGAAGCCCTTTCTCATTAAAGCAACAGTATCCTTCAATCCAAGGTTTGTGGCCAGAAGGCAGTATCACAGTTCTCTTGAAAAGAGGTCTGAAAGAAAAGCAAAGTAAAAGCTGCTCCTCATAGTTAACACAGAGCCGTGCTTAACAGACTGCACTTGAATACTAGCTCCATCATTCATAACTGTTTGACTTTGGCAAGTTATTCAACTGTTCTTTTGGGGCCTCAGTTTCCTCATTGTATGACAGGGATAATGGTATCTACTTCACGAAGCTGTGTCAGGATTAAATGAAGACTTAATACCACAAAATATTTTGAATACTGTCAGAAGCATAATAAATGTTCAATAAATATTAACTACTATTATTATAAGCATAATAAATCTTTAGGGAAGAATATATCTTTCCCTTTACAGAGGCAGAGAGCATAAAGCTTCAGAAAAAACTTATAAATGAGAGTTAGTTCTACAAATAAGCCTTGATTAGAAATGCATAAACTAGATATGTTCCTACAAAACATAAGATCTACTGTCAAGTACTTCTATAAATGATCAGACTTTGAGGAAATAAAGGAAATTAAAATCTGAAGTTTTCTGTATGTAGTTCATTTAACAGAATAAATCTAGAGATTAAAACAATACTGTGTTTCCAAAAGCAGAAAACCCCCAAAAAGAAATAACAGAAGTTTCTTGGACATCCCAAAGGGCATATTCCAGGAATTTAATTCAGTCCCCGGACCTCTTCTCCACTGTCCACACTTATTACTTTCCCCCTTACTTCTGATGTCATAATTTCCCCCAAATGACACAACCTGTGTCAAGATTCCAGCTATTCTTCATTTGCTTTCACAATGGCAAAGTCTAGTTGGTGGAGATGACTTAATACTCAAAATTCTTTGTATATAAATGTACTTAGTTGTCAAGTAGGCTACATTTAAGCCAAACTACCCAGAGCATCAAATTATAATTGCCAAAGAACACGCTTTGCCAATAAACTGCTTGGTTTATATTTCTCTTTTTCCCAAGTTTATAATTTAAACTTAAACTATAAACAAGAAATTCCAAGGAGGAACCTAGCACCAAAAATACCAATGGGTGAAGGATTTTAAGTACCAGCGGTGTGGTGCAGCTAAGACCTGCACTCTGCCTATGACCTGCCTATGGAGTGAGGGGAGAGTATAATGAGCACGTTTATGTTCTGTGCATATACGTTATGGTTATTTTTACAATCTCGCACTTCCTCACACACACAAAAGTAGGGTTGTGGTTTCTCCAATGAACAACAAAAGACTGATTGAATGTAAACATATTTCCAAAGCTCTAAAACTTGGTACCTCAAGTGTGACTCTTCCTTGACATTAGCCAAGATTCAAAGACCTTGTATTTCTGACAACTACTCTTAAACCGTGACAGCGATCATCAAATTTACTTCCAGTGTTCTTTCTCAGTATGGAAAACAGATACTAGTGTTAGCTGACTTCCCAGAGATGAAACTCTTAAGTCCAGCTGCCCCTCTGCTATGGCAATTACAGGGAAAGACATCAAATTTACTTCCAGTGTTCTTTCTCAGTATGGAAAACAGATACTAGTGTTAGCTGACTTTCCAGAGATGAAACTCTTAAGTCCAGCTGCCCCTCTGCTATGGCAATTACAGCGAAAGATAGATGATTTCAAGAATTGTGACATCAGGACTGTACTTTCTAAGTTTCCATTTTAAACAGTTTCTATCTTCTTTTAAAATGATCACATATATTTAAGGGAAGAAATGGAAAAAGAGCTCTGAATTAAGCTTTGGTAACAGAACAAACAAAACACTAATCTGGTCAAAGATAACCACACAATTTAGTAGCATAAATTTGTAGGTTCTTCATCTTTGTTGGGGGAGGAAAATATGGGCGTTCACTGAAACTGATCACAACTTTTCATTTAGAGACACTAATAAAATTCCAGATGCTATGAATATGAAACATGGGTGTGACTGGTCTCATCATGACTTAAATGCAGATCATTGTTACAGAATTTCCATATCTTTGCACAAAGGATAATCTGACCCACACTAAGGCCAGTCTCCCATAGCTGCGGGGCTCAGTTTTCTCCCACCGGCCTATTTAGCTCCTATGTAAATTCCCCAGCTTTTCGGATACCCCAAGTGCCACACACATGGACTCAACTCCACTTTGGCCATAAATATGTGATTTTTAACACATGGTACTGATTTTTAGGGAAAAAAAAAGAAACAAAAACAAAAAGCTAGTAACAGGTAACAAAAGAACAGAAAGGAAAGAGAGGCCATCTACTCATTTACCTTGATCATTAGGCATTTTATCAGAGGAGTCCGCTAACAGGCCAAGCACAGGGGAAGAAAAAACAAGAGCAAGGATCACAAGCTTTGAAGATGGGACAGGCAGAATTTTTAAAGGAAAAAAATAAAACCCCCACAAACTTCCAAACAAATTAAGTCTTACTGTTAGTATTAACAGAAAAGAAATCCATATAGGGTTTCCATATTTCTATAGAGTCAGTCCCCAGCTAATTTTATTAGCCTAAGCTCACCTGGTTCAATACTTTATCTTCATTTTCTTTCCTAGAGTTTTATTTAAAAGGCCCCTTTTAGTCTTTTTCTCTCTACAAAGGTCCACAAATGAGGCTTTCAGGTTAAGAGCTTGCATGTGTTGAGAGAACCATCCATCACAATAACATGCTATTGCTCTGTATGGGAACCAAGAGAATCACATCTGATCTGACTGGTAAAAACTTTTAGATCACTGCAATTCATTTGCCCCAAATAGCCTGGAGCCGGAGTTCACTTGTATGTGATATGGTCAGGCCAGTAACCTAAAGAGCACTGATTTTGGTGGTCAGTGGGTGGGTGAGGAATTATTTTGACATAAATCTTCACACTGTGATTCATAAGCTCATCATCAGGACTTCTTACAGCATGCAGTGTCTATACACTGAAGTGATATGTGTAAGCATAGCCCCACTAAAGAGACACAAAATTAAACTCTCAGATCAGGGAGCTTTACCTTTGGGGGTTCTGAATTGGACAGCTTCAGACATGGGCCCCATGCCCTTTGAGTTCCGGGCTTGGATTTTGAAGTAGTATGGTGTGTCAAGCGTTAACTCTTGTATCTGGTGAGTCAGCCTGTTTCCCACAACAGGCTCAATAACCCAGTCATGTATCTCAGCATTCACATCCGTACTGTAATATATGATGTAACCTGTCCAAAGGAATTAATGGGAAGAGATATCTCATTCCTGCTTTTCCTTTTGCAATCAGTAAATCAATAAATACATATTACAGCATAATATTTGAATAATGTACTCTCAAGAGTCTACAATTAAAATAATACAGTTTTGAAAACCAATAATGGCCTGACATGCTATTTTAGCTCTGACCAATGTGATCTCTTAGGAGAGAAACACCGGGGAGATGGACAGCAACAAGCAATCTCTGTTTAAGTTCTCCCAGGCTTGGGGTGGGTGAAGCCATAGTAAATTGTCACCTGGTACTTCCACAAGGGGGCACTCAAACCCCAC